CTCCTCTTCCCTACTCCTTCCCCACTTTCCCTCCCTTTCCCCACTCCTCCTCCCCCCCCCTCCGTCCCGGCCCTCCCTCCCTTGCCTCCCTTATCCCTCTGCCTTCCCCACATCCGTTCCTCTTCTCTTTCTCTCCTCCTCTCTCTCCTCCTCTCTCTCCGCCTCCTCGCACCTCCAACGACGCCATCTGCGAGACTGTGCTGGGCTCGACGGGGGAGGAGACGTCACGGATGATTCCTGAGCAAGATGAGAGGCAGGGACGCGAGCCCAGCAGAGCTGACCTTTCCTGTCCACCTGAGCTGAGAAAAGTTTGGTAGGGAATGTGACGGGCAGGGTGAGAGGAGCTCTCATGCTGTAGCAGTCAATCGCGCTGATCCTCTTCTCCTGCTCAGACTATCACGTGCCAACCCCTCGACAGCTCCCTCCTCCTCTCTTCCTGTCTTCCTCCCTCCCTCCTCCTCCCTTCCTGTCTTCCTCCCTCCCTCCTCCTCCCTTCCTGTCTTCCTCCCTCCCTCCTCCTCCCTTCCTGTCTTCCTCCCTCCCTCCTCCTCCCTTCCTGTCTTCCTCCCTCCCTCCTCCTCCCTTCCTGTCTTCCTCCCTCCCTCCTCCTCCTCTCTGGTCTTCCTCCCTACCTACTGGCCTCCTGGCCTCCATCGTTCCTCCCTCTTACCCTCTTCCCTCCTCTCCTCTTCCCTGTTGCCCTCCCCTCCTCTCCTCCTTCACACCTGGAAGACATTCTGCATGAGAGTCTCTCTGTCTTTCTGCTGGGTCGTTTCATTGCTGGCGCTGCAACCAAGTCAAGAAGAGAACAGAACGTCGCCCTCGTCCCATCCTCCTCTCCCCTCCTCTCCTCTCCTCTCCTCTCCTCTCCTCTCGTCTCGTCTCGTCTCGTCTCGTCTCGTCTCGTCTCGTCTCGTCTCGTCTCGTCTCGTCTCGTCTCCTCCCCTCTCCTCCCCTCCATTCCTCTCTTTTCTTTCCTACTATCGTTGTGCTTCTCCCTCCCTTTGTCCCTCCTCCGGCCTACTGCCTTACCCTCGCAGGACGCAATGCATTGAAAATGTCTTGCTCTCCTCCTCCTCCTCCTCCTCCTTCTTGGCGGATGCATCTTGCCGTTGCGTGAAGCTGCTGCCATGCCCCAGCCCGCACGTCGTTCCTGCTGCTCGTCTGCTCCAGCCGTCACCCGCAAAGACTAACGCTCGTCCTCTACCTGGAGGAGGAGGGATGTAGCTGGAGACCTCCTCCTCTCGCCTTCAGCCTGCCTCTCGTTACTACTGGCAAATGAACGAGAAGGGGGAGCAACTGTTGGAGGAGAAGGATGAGGGCGAGGGCGAGGGCGAGGGCGAGGGCGAGGGCGAGGGCGAGGACGAGGACGAGGGTGGAAGCAGCTGCCGGAGGTGGTTGTGGACGAGGATGAGGAGAGGAAGACCAGGACGACAGCACGAAGTCTTCCTTCAATTCTACAGGAAGCCAGCTGGACATGGCGGCAGCTGGAAAGCTTCCATTGCTCGAGACTAACAAAGAGAGTGAGAAGAAGCAAGAAATTCAGAAATGCAGGAGGAGAAGGAAGAGTAGAGAGGAGGAGGAGAGCAGAGCAGAAGATAAAGCAGGAGCAGCAGGAGCAGCAGGAGCAGGAGCAGGAGGAGCAGGAGGAGCAGGAGGAGCAGGAGGAGCAGGAGGAGGAGGAGCAGCAGGAGGAGCAGCAGGAGCAGGAGCAGCAGGAGCAGCAGGAGACAGTACCGAGATCGCAAGTATTCCACATGTGAGCGGAGGCGAGGTGATGTTCCTCGTAGCTCGCCAAGGAAGGGAGATGGTGTCGAGAACAGCCGCGAGGACTGCGAAATCTGAGGAGGAGGAGGAGGACAAGCAAGCTACCTGCTGAGGATCGGAAGGGAGAGGGATGATGGTACGAGGCGAGGTGGCTGTTGAAGTTGGTCCAAGAGGAGGAGCCGAGGACGGGGACATAAAGCTGGGAGTACTGCGACATCAGGATGAGTCTTATATTTCAGCATCGAGGACGAGGAGGACGAGGACGAGGACGAGGAGGACGAGGACGAGGACGAGGACGAGGAAGACCTGCGAGGTTACGGCAAACGTGACGGCAGCAGAGCGAGCTCGGCGGTAGCGGTTGGCAGAGTTGAGGGAGAGAGGGTTAGAGGAAAGATGGTCTTCGGACTTAGCGATGAAGAAGATTGGAACTTTCGAGAACTCGTCGTTAAGCATCTCGCAGACTTTCTGAGATGAAAGACAATCATGATCGATCGTGAGAAGATTGATAGACAAACTCACTGATCCGATGGCTCCAAATGCGTTGTCTGTATCGCACATCATTTGAAAACCCTGTGGAAAAAACAAATTCATCTAAAGCTCAATGTGATGCTATTCATCATCGTCATGGCCAACACAAGCACAAGCACAAGCACAAGCACAAGCACAAGCACAAGCACAAACAAAAACATCATCATCATCATCATCAACAACATCATCATCAACTTCAACATCAACATCAACATCAACATCACCGCAACCGCCAACAACGTAACAACTTCATCATCCTCATCATCACCACCACCTCCATATCCTCAATAATAATCATCGTCTCCGTCGTCTTCATCATCATCATTCTCATCCTCATCATCATCATCATCATCATCATCATCATCTTCATCTTCATCTTCATCATCTCCATCATCATCATCACCTCCCCCTCCTCGATCTTCATCACAGACCTGCAATGTGTCGCATTCTTCAACCCACCAGTGCAAGTTTTCTTCCCATTCTTCTTTCAAACTTGTTTGTTCATCGTCACTTTAAACGTTTCTCATTTGCTTTCACATACTTGCTGTCATCCGTTTCCCACATCAAACCAGATGCGAAAGCATTGTCATAATCCCTTCCCAACCCCTACAGCAGATTATCAATGCATTACAACAAAGTTGATAAGTTATTCAGATGTCATTATCATCCCCTCTATCAACTCTATCATCGACAACAATACCAACAATACCAACAAATACTCTATCATCATCATCATCATCATCATCATCATCATCATCATCATCATCATCATCATCATCATCATCATCATCATCATCATCATCATCATCTCCATCATCATCTCCATCATCATCTCCATCATCATCACCGCCACCATCTAAATCATCGACATCGTAATCGCATGCGTCGCCATGTTCTTGGTCATCTCGATTTTACCTCCGTCAAATCATGACAAGTACGATGATGGTAATTCACCTGGAAGGCATCAAATGATAACAGCAAACACAACTCGTTTTACTTTGAGATAATCACTCCAATATCGAACAGTATCATCATCTATAACAATCTCTTCTTCTTCGCAACGCTGCTCCCCCTGTACTGTCTGCCGCCTTGTCTTGGATTCAACCTCATTTGCCTGGAATAATCTTGAATGCGTGAGCAGCAGAGCACAGGAATCTACCTCATTGACATCCTCCTCCTCCTCCTCTTCCTCCTCCTCCTCCTCTCCCCCTCTTCCATCATAGTTGTCTGAAGTCACCAACGTGAGTAACCCAATGTGCCTCATCTCCAGCTCGTTCACCTTCCAGCATCCTTGCAACAAAGGGATGATGCTGTATCTGAGTTCAAAACGTCACACACGCAAGCTTGTACAACCGTCCACGGCTCACCGGTTCCGTCACGCACTTTGTAACAGCTCCTTGCCATGCTGAAGTCATACAACTTTCGCCAGCAAGACCATCCGCATCGTCCTCCAAGCACCCCTTGCGACATTCGATTAATCTCGTGCACATCCCTCGTCACTCCTCCATCTTTCCTCCTGTGTCACTCCTCCTTTCCTCCCTCTTCCTCTCCCTCTTCTCTAACCCCTCTTCTCTCTTCTCCTCCGCTCTCGCCTCCCCCCACCCTTCCCCTCCCCTCATCTCCATTTGCCTCTCCTCCCCTCCCATCCCATCCCATCCCATCCCCTCCCTTCTCCTCTCTTTTCGACTCCTCTCATCTCTTCTCTTCTCTTCTCTTCTCTTCTCTTCTCGACTCGACTCGACTCGACTCGACTCGACTCGCTCGACTCGACTCCTCTCCTCTCCTTGCTCACCCATCGACGAAGCGAGCCTCTGTTGCTCCTGATGTCCAGCAGCATCACCCGAGGAACGCTCACGTGCTCTCCCACCTGCCGGAAGAACGCACCGCAGTCAACCTGCTCCAGCATGGTCAGCAAGGGACTCAGAAGCAATCATGGCGGGTAGACCTCCTCAGTTGACCGACCCTCCTCATCGTATGAGGCCATCTCCTCCTGAGGTGACATGGTGAGGAAACTTGAACATTCTGCCTCCTCACTCTCTTACCTGGATGTTCCAGAAGTGAGAACCGACATAGTTGCTGTAATTTCCAAGTTGAAATGTCAAGATTTCCCGCATGTCCTGAAGAATTCATGTCACGGATCATACACTTCCCGTCCACACTTTTGCACGTTTGCATTTTTTCTCTCCCTCTCCTCCTCTCCTCCTCTCCTCCTCCTCCCTCCTCCTCCTCCTCCTCCTCCTCCTCCTCCTCTCCTCCTCCTCCTCTCCTCCTCTCCTCCTCCTCCTCCCTCCTCCTCTCCTCCTCTCCTCCTCTCCTCCTCTCCTCCTCTCCTCCTCTCCTCCTCTCCTCCTCTAACCACCCGTCCTTGTTCTTCCATCCTTCTCTTTCCCTTTCCCTCTCTCCTCCCCATGCGGCTCTAAAAGGAACATCTGCTGCCTGAATTAGAATTATCTAATCCAGTATCTAATCAACATTCGCTGTCTCCGAGTATCCATTTTCACATACCTGAGGCGGACTTGCAAGGTCACTGAGTGTCACCTCAGTCAGGGCCCAGTGCTGCCCTTTAGGTCAGTCAGCAGCCGCTAGTTTCTACACCTTCCCCTTCCTCTGGCAGTGGATTCACATCCGATCCCGCCAATCTTCCGCCAGGTCAAGCGCCTTGACGGTCCTGTCTGCAAGTACTGTTCAAGTCACGCCAGTGAAGCGACTCTCCTGATCATCGGATGGTTCTCGCGATGCTTTAAATTCAGTAAATTGGTATTATTGTCTCTTAGAGTCACTATCTTTGAATCAACCATCAACAGTTGATGGATATGATCCTCTAGTATCCGGCAGCACCGCCGAGTCCGGCAAACACTCATGCTTATCATCCGATCGTCAAGTCCGATCTGTCCCATCACCATCCCATCACCTTCCTCAGCTCAGAAAGTTGATCAGGGCTCGTGCTGGTGCTCGGAGCCCAACTCTCCTCATCCTCTGCCAGCTGCACACAGCGACCGTGAACCGGGTGAGCGTACAGGACTACTTCCTCGCTCACAATAAGTTTGCGCTGTTCTGCATCCTCAGGATCTGCTCAGCCATGGACACAACCGGAAGGAATTTCTGCTCGAGATCTCTCGCCACCAGCCGGAGCCTCTGCTCCCCCTCCATGGTCTTCTGCATCCCCTCTATCGTCTCGCTCTGCCATCACTCGTCATCAACCCCTCCTCAACCCCTCTGCGCCCCCCCCCCTCTTCCCTCGTGCTCGTGCTCGTGCTCGTACTCGTGCTCATGCTCATGCTCCTGATCCTCCTGTTCCCTCTCTTACTCCTCCTGATCCTGATCCTGATCCTGATCCTGATCCTCATCCTGATCCTCATCCTGATCCTCATCCTCCTCCTTCTCTTCTCTCACCGCATACAGGTCGGGCTCGATGTCGTCCCGCAGCGTGTCGTAGCCTCTCCCAGCGATCGTATGCCTCGAGACAGCCATCAGCGCGCTGCTGTCGTGTTGCACAGCATTCTCAAATTCTCCCTTAGAAACCTGCCCAGCTGCAGTTCAGCTGCGTTCGACTTAGAGGGGTCGACTCACCGGAATGATGCAGCTGTTGAAAGCGATTACTCGCCCAGCGGCGTCAAACTCCTGCTGCTGCAGCAGCTTTGCTACGACGCAAGAGGACGACTGGTTGTCTTGAAGGTTCCTCACCCTGGCCAGGATCTCGAAAGGTCTGCCTGGTTGCAAGATGAACGCCAAGGTCCCGAACATAGCATAGCAGAAGTAGTTGAACTCCGTTGACAAGATAGGAAGCTCCCTGCTCCCCAGCCTGGAGATCGTCTCCTCCACGTGCAGCCCAAGCATCCGACTCAGACTCTCCGACACGTACACCTCAGTCCCTTTCCCCGTCAAGGGGTCGAAGCTTTGCCTTGCAACGCCAACCTCGCTGATGGCGTCGTAGAAGATCTTCTCCATCTGATTTGCGTTCGCCGAGTTGAAGGTTCCTTTCGCGTGAGCCTGCGCAGCCTTGGCCAGGTTGTACCGCATGATGACCTCGATCGCGTGGAAGGCTCGTCTCGTCACGATCTCAAGGTACGGAGGAAGCGTGTGAAACACTTTCATCAGCTGCCTTGAGTCAAACCCAAACTCCCAGTGGCGGGACAGTAGAAAGCTCGGCCACCCCATGTTGATCACCCGCTCTTCTAACAGCGAAGCTTGATCGAACTTGATCGTTCGAGTTGTGAATTGCAGCGGCCATTCCACCGTAGTCAATGCGAGTGCACGACTAACCAATGCATCTCCCTCCTCTCTCAAAGTCCCCTCCTCCCTCCAAGTCCCTTCTTCCCCTTCTTCCCCCACAGGTCGTCGTGCCCTGACCGCAACCGCCTCCTGCTCGTCATCGACGCATAGAGCCTGCCTCCCAAGCCTCACGCAGCGCGAGCATGGCCGCTGGTCATCGCACTTGGTCTTGACACTCCTGCACACCACACACGCGATTGAGATTCTCTTGCCATGAACGTAACCCGGCTCCTTGGACTTCTTGATCCGGACACATCGATGTGCTATGCCAAACTCTTTACATTTCCAGGACCTCCCGTCAGCGCCTTCACTTGCGTACATCCTCTCCTTACCTCGTGCAAGGCTGCTGCTCGTCACATTTTTGCTTCGCGTCTCTGCAGGGTTTACACGCAACCCTCATGCGGGGCTTCCGACTGGCTGAGGGCTCATCTGCGTCCCTACCAGAGCCTTGCTCTGGATCGCTTTCTGGAGAACCTGGAGACCCGCTCTCCTCTCGCTTGCTGCTTACTGCGGGTCCATCCTCTCTCACAATGATCATCTCTTGACCTTCTGACTTTGTTATCGGCTCTGTCCAGCCCTGCACCCTTCCTGTCTCCCTATCTCCTGCTTCCTTCCTGTCTCCTTTTCTCCTGCACCCTTCCTGTCTCCCTATCTCCTGCTTCCTTCCTGTCTCCTTTTCTCCTGCACCCTTCCTGTCTCCCTATCTCCTGCTTCCTTCCTGTCTCCTTTTCTCCTGCACCCTTCCTGTCTCCCTATCTCCTGCTTCCTTCCTGTCTCCTTTTCTCCTGTACCCTTCCTGTCTCCCTATCTCCTGCTTCCTTCCTGTCTCCCTATCCCCTGCACCCTTCCTGCACTGCCTGTCCTCGAAGGGGAGCAATTAAAATTCATCCCCATATCTCCTTCGTTGTTCATCTTATTATGTCTGTTATGTCTATAAAGCTGCCTTTTGTCCTTTCTAAATCTATCTCTGGGGCGAACTGGTTTGATATAGAGCATTGGTAGGATATTTTTCCTCCTTAACTTTGAGTAAAAGGTGATTTCCTCCTAATGAGAGTTTTACTGAAATATGATCTAGTCGGACTCCGGGTGTGAACCGGGGCCGGTATTTTTTTTTTCTTTTACAGCAGCTCTCTGATGTTTTTTTTAAGGTGTTCTCTTTTTTCTCTGGTCAAATGAAATTCCCTGGTCAAAACTCGGCGGAGAGATCACATTCCGATAGAGGGAGCATGAGAGGGGAGCCAAGGGGAGCAGAGCAGAGGGGAGATGAACAGAGAGTAGTAGAGGGTAGCAGCGAACAGAGAGAGTAGTAGAGGGTAGCAGCGAACAGAGAGAGTAGTAGAGGGTAGCAGCGAACAGAGAGAGTAGTAGAGGGTAGCAGCGAACAGAGAGAGTAGTAGAGGGTAGCAGCGAACAGAGAGAGTAGTAGAGGGTAGCAGCGAACAGAGAGAGTAGTAGAGGGTAGCAGCGAACAGAGAGAGTAGTAGAGGGTAGCAGCGAACAGAGAGAGTAGTAGAGGGTAGCAGCGAACAGAGAGAGTAGTAGAGGGTAGCAGCGAACAGAGAGAGTAGTAGAGGGTAGCAGCGAACAGAGAGAGTAGTAGAGGGTAGCAGCGAACAGATGAAGAGTTCTGTGACGAGACGAAGCAAAACGAGATCGACCAGAGAGGGGCAGAGATCAGCAAAGACAAGTGAAGTAAGGGCAGAGGATGACAAAAGGGAGGAGAGAGGAGAGGAGACAAGCAGCGAATAGAAACGACCAAGGTCACGAGGGTCCAAGAGAAAGAGATGAAACGTCAGAACATTTCGTATCAGATAGAAGCAATAAATAGGAACAGAAATAGACAATATAGGAATAGAAGCAGACAACATTAATCAGATGCAGAAAACGAGATGGCTGGACTTGCTTTTGCGGTGTCTGGATGGAGTAAATATGCCCTGGAATCTCTCGTTCTGAAACGCCTCTCCAGAAGCGCAAACATGGAAATGCAAAAGGCATCAACAGCCCCATCGGATTGCACAAGTAAGGACGTATTCAGCACCTGAAAGGCTCCTTTGTTGTCGATGTCTTTTTATGCTCCCTGTCTTGTTGTTCATCTTACACTATCGTAGGTGAGAGCAGCTCAGTCGTGGGTCCTCCTTACACCTGGAGGGAGATGGCGAGGAGACCGTTTGCTCAGTGTCTTGGGATGATTGTGGTTGTTCTTTCTGCCCTCATTGTCACCGTAATCGCTGTTGCTGGCACGCGAGCTGAAAAGTGTGTCTGGATCCACGGTGTCTGTTATGATCGTCCATGAATCTAGTTGAATGTTGAGTACTCATAAAAAGTAGTTTACATCCTATCTCTTACTTCGCTTGCTGCCTTTGCTTTTCATTTCCGCAACTTGCCTTTCGCCTAGTCTTGTCTTTTCTCTACCCTTTCCGCACTTGTTTCAGGCTCTTTCCCGCACATTGTGGGGCTTGTTCCTTTCTTTGCAGTCAGTCAGTATGTTCACTTCATGTATCGACATGCATTCTCTTGATTGAGAAACTTAGCCACCTCATCGGCCTACAATCTTGCTGAAAACTCATTGAAATGATAGTTTATTCATAGCTAGTAAAAACATCTCATGTTGTAGTTCATTCATAGCTAGTAAACATATCTCATGTTATGAACCAACAGAGCGCTGAACATCACTATCAAGAAGGAGAAGGATGGAAGTGCGAGGGAGCCTGCGCTTACTTGCTTCGGCATCTTCACATTCCCACACACATCAGATCGGGCGTAGCTGCTAGTGAACAGCGACTTGTCATCGCTGCACTTGTCAAACTTGGCATTGGGGTAAGCTTCATCCAGCGAGCCAATGTCGTCACACTTAATGCCCATCTTGTTGAGATTTTTCCCGCTGAACGACTCCTTCACGACTGACCAGTTGGGGCGTTTGGCATTGGAGATAATGACTTCCTCCTTCACCTTGGCGGCGGCTGTGGGATCCACGTCATGCAACCAGGGGAGCGCAGCGGCACAGAAGGCCCAGGCCTCTGCCTTGATCTTGGCGAGGTTGGAGTCTGAAGTTATGTCTGCGGAGGAGGCCTCATACGAGTACACGATGCAAGCTTGAACGACAGGAACCATCAGTTGAGCTCTGATGCACTTGAACGATTCCGCCACCTCAGCAGCTTTGTCAGGAGTCTGAAGGTATCGCTGCGCAGCGGTGAACTGGTACATGAGCTCCCAGTTGACTCGCGACGATCCGCCATTGCCGATGATGTACCCGTAGGTCTTGAAGTCCTTCGACATCTTCTCCGCTAGCATGTACGGAGCGTAGCCGAGGCCCTGGCCGTCCACCTCGCCGTCCTCTTGGCTCCCATCCTCTAGGCTGCCGACATAGAAGGCCCATGCCTCGTCTAGCGTGTGAGCTGCTCCGTTGGCCTCGAACCTTGAGTTACCCAGACTGACGTCGTTGTAGCCAGCCAGAGCTCCTTCGATCTCGTGCAGGACGTAGAGCCAGTCGATGGTGTACTGAGCCAACTTCTTTGTCATCTGCGATCGGGCGCTGTCTGTCTTGGCGAGATCTCCAGTGGCATAAGTGCCGTACTTGACTTCGTCCTTGCCGTCCAGAACTGCTCGCATGTGGTCGTCCGCGAAAGTCCACGTTTGCCAGAAGGCGTGTGCCATCTTCGCAAAGGGTTCAGACCGCGGGAAGGTGCTAGAAGGATCTTTGTAGATGTTTGCCATGTCTTGCAAGGTTCTGTACTTGACAGGATCTGACGACTTCATCGACCCTCCACCTTCAGTGTAAATTTTCTTGGCTGCTGTCCAGTCATTCTTTGCCAATTCGATTCCTCGCAAGTCCAGGTCAATCTCTGAGTGCTCTTTGACATCAGACACTGGAACGTAGCCAGCGAGACTACCCGCCTTCACAGCCACGTTTCCACCGGAGTAACCAGAACTAGAGCTGTCCTCCTCGCAGCTTGACGCCAGAAGGAGAGAGGCGAGAATGAAGAGCTTCACGAGCATCTGCAAAGACAAATTAGACAACCATACTACGACACCACCACAAGGCAAGATTCAAGTCTTGAAAACCAAAAGAACATCTTCAAAATAGACACATCCATGACTTGGATTATCGCCTAACTTCCTCCTCACATTCTAGTAAAATGTACTAAGATGATCCAAGACAATGGCACAAATAGGAGCAAGAGCAAGAGCAAGAGCAAGAGCAAGAGCAAGAGCAAGAGCAAGAGCAAGAGCAAGAGCAAGAGCAAGAGCAAGAGCAAGAGCAAGAGCAAGAGCAAGAGCAAGAGCAAGAGCAAGAGCAAGAGCAAGAGCAAGAGCAAGAGCAAGAGCAAGAGCAAGAGCAAGAGCAAGAGCAAGAGCAAGAGCAAGAGCAAGAGCAAGAGCAAGAGCAAGAGAGAGAAAGCGAAAGAGGAAAGGAGAACGGAGGAACGTGGAGCCAGAACTGTGAGGGAGAAGAAGAGCGGATCGATGTAAAATTTATACGCAGATAGGGGTAGGGGAACAGGGGGCCTCCTCTAGCCAGGGTACTTTTTCATCTCAAATCACTAAAAGTTAGACTGTAAAAGGGGGTGGGTAGTAAGAAAATCAGGAATTCTGGGGTAGGGGGTGGGGCTGGTCAGAACCCTCCACATGTCCCTGGTCAAAACGCTGGTCAAACTAGACATGGGATTGAAATTACATCCTTTTATAAAACTAGCTGTTTGTCACGGCGATGCCCGGGAAGAATTTCACATCTACACAAGTAAGTTAGTCTTCTTTTTCAGTCAATAAAACAGAGTCTACACAGGTTTTCTAAGGAAACTGATGTCACATGTGAGTCATTGATCATTCTTCCTTCTTCTCATCATCTATTCCTCAAGGTTGCTTTCGATCTCCACATGATCTTACTCTGTCTTCCAAACAATAGCTCCTTCATCATCTATTCCTCAAGGTTGCTTTCAATCTCCACATGATCTTACTCTGTCTTGCAAACAGTAGCTCCTGGGAGCGAAAGCCTAATTACTTGCTGATCCTAGAACTTGTTGTCTTGCTGTCCCTTTCCTCGACTCTTGTCAATCTACTCAAAGCCTCTGCCGATCAATCTCAAATCTCAAATCTCAGATCTCAAATCTCAAATCTTTCTCTTGACCTGTTTATCTGGATTCCAAGGATCTTTGTAGCCTTGCAGACGAAGTAAATCGATCTTGAAACAATATCAGTATATCCTCCATGTACTTTCTGTAGCAAGCTTGAGTTGCCTCAATGCTGAGATTTGACGATGAAGCATACACATTAGCACCGCTGCTTAGAAACTGCTCCAAACTTCAGTCAGTAAGGTAACGTAGACCAGTGGCAAACCATCAGTCCATACCGAGAGTGCATGATTCACGATTCAGGAAGAACCCGAACCTAACCCACAAGCCTCGGAAAGGTGGTTGCTGAGAAGAGTGTCATGCGATATTGCCTAACAAAACTTCATGCACATCACCTCAGATCGACGCTCTAACCAAGAAGATCCATATGTCATTTTCATTTCCTCATTTCGCTGCTTTCACGCTGGCGCCTCCATTGGATTTCAAGACGTGCAGATCTCTGTTCATGTGTTTTGCTTCCACTTGTGTCGCCATGGCGATGCTGACCTGCAACGAACGTTTATGTGACGAACAGAGGACCTTACCTAAGTTACCCAAAAGGCAGCCAGGCTGGTGCTTTTTCAGTCGGTAACTGCTTTACCTTGTATTTGGCAATTGGTCATGAATGCCCACGAAGCATATACTCAACTGCAAGCAAGTGGGAACATACCTTACATACCTTACAGCCGGGGGCGCGGTAGGAGGGGGAGAAGCATGAAGGGGAGAAGACGGAGCGAGTAGAGCTGCGAGTAGAGCTCGAATCTCTCAACGAAGTGATATTGGGGTTGAGTAAACAAAATCTTTATGATGGGGGGGGATAACTTGAACACATTTCAATAGTGGTGCTACTGTTATCACTGTCAGTCTTCCCGCAGGTCTTCTCGAGGGTCACTGTCCGATTTCATTCTCCAGCAGCTCGTCCAGCTCCTGCAGGTCTTCTATCTGCGTGACGTGCTCCACCTGCTCCTGCTCCTGCTTCTGCTCCTCCTCCTGCTCCTCCTCCTCCTGCTCCTCCTCCTGCGGCCCCTTCCCCTTCTCGGACACCGTCTTCTCCTGCTGCCCCAGTTGTAAGGTACAAACACCGGACGCTTCCCCACCCACCTTGAGCGACTCTGTCTCAGTCAGCTTGTGGACCCTCAAGACCAGGCGGGTCTCTCGCAGCTTCCTGAAGAGCTTGTGATTCTGCAGCGGCAGCGTCAACTCCTGCTCTTCGCCTTCGGGGAGCTGCTCTAAATCCAGTTGCACTGATCCCACCAGATCGTCGCTCGTCACCTGAGAACAGAAACCCGTCAGAGTCATCAGCAACCTCCAGCAGCTGTCCAGGAGGAACTCACGTCGTCCTTGTCCCACAGCGTGACGCTGAGCACCTTGGTCCGACTTGTCGTCGTCCACTCGAACTGCTGCTCCCACACCGGGTTCACGTTCTTGTGTTTCACCTCCGACGCAAACGTCGAGAGCCCCGAGCACGCGTTCACAAAGAGCACGCAGTAGGGGTCACACCCCGAGAACAGGTCCATTCTCGGCAGGTTGGTCGCCCGTACCAGCGTCACTCTCAACAGCTTCACCGACGTCGGAGCTGGTGCAGTCTGAACTTGTTGCTCCTGCTCCTTCTGCAGCGCTATGGCAGCGGGCGCGAGCTCTTTCCCGATGCTTGTCAACAGGTCAAGGACCTGCTGCTGGCTGCCGAGGAGTTTGACCTGACCGATCTGCGTTCCGATCTGCCGTCGGATGCCCTCAAGGTCATGCAGTTCCAGCAGCTCGCTCTTCCTTCTCTCGGAAATCACCGATGGCTCCGTTCCGTAGCGATTCATCAGATCTGCAGACGCAACGATCTCATCCTCGTTGAAGAACAGATCCGCAAGCTGCTCCTCTTCCCCAGCATCTGGATGTACTTTGTCTGTCTTCCTCCCCAACGCTCGACGAGCGAGCGCAGCAACTTCATGAGTGTCGAGCGAGACGCCTCCAGGCAGCAGGATCAGCCTTTCCTCGTCCAGGTCCCGCTCAAGGATGCGACGTTGGCTCTCCTTGGACGTCAACGTCTCGCGCTCCTTCACCAGCGCCTCCTCCAGCTTCTGGTTTGACACGAAATGACGAGCCTTTATCGTCTTCCTCAGCCCATGCCAAAGAGTCTCCAGCAGGTCCTCCACCAGCCCTGTCGTCCCCTCGGTCTCCTCCTTGACCTTGGCGTACGCGTCCACCAAGATGGCGAGGAACACGTTGAGAAGGATGAAGAAGGCGATGAACAGATACGACCACAGAAAGATGTGAAACGCACCGTCCGGAGCTGCGTGCGACATCTACGACTACATGTTAGCACAGCTCTTGGACCGCTCGTCCTCTGCTTGCTCACCGACGCGTAGAACTGAGTGGTGTCGAGGCTCAGCAGGAAGATCAGAAGCGTCAGACATGCCGTTGACATATCCTTCATGCCCTGCCACGTGAAACCAAGTCAGTTCCTCCTTGCTCTCTCAGTCCTCCTCTCCTTCCTTTCTGAGCCCTCCACCTCCGCCTCCCCCTATCACCACCTCCTCCTCCTTCGGCCTTCCTCCACCTGTATTCCAGTCCTCACCTCGTATTGGTGACCGAACAGCATGTGACCGACCACGGAGTAGCCGTAGAACACGACAGCAAACAGCAGCATGAAGTGCCAGAGGTCGCTGGACGCGCGAGCAATGGTACGAGTGACGAGACCCATGCGCTCCTGGAAGTCGAGGGACTTGAGCATCCGGAGGACGAAGAGAACCACGCTGACTCCCGCGAAGAAGGAGTAGAGGTTCATCGAGTCCGAGATCGTCCGCGCCTGCTCCAGCAGTATGAGGAGGTCCATCTCTGCCTTGTTGTCTGTTCGGAAATGCCTTGCCATGGCATTCCCAGACTTGAGCAGTGGAACCTGGAAGCTGCTTCCTGTCTGCACAGTTGTGATGCCTTTCCGCTGCTGTCCTGCTGTGCTGTACTCGGGCCCGTAGAAGAGGATAGGATAGTTGGCCTTCATGTAGAACTGGCGGCAATCGAAGTAGTGGAGGAGGCAGGTGATGATTGTGCCCCACATGAAGGCGAAGTGAGTCCAGTCGATCCAGTTGAAGGGATGCGACAGGTAACCTGTCAAGTTGTACTTGCGGATCTCACCCAGCAGCTCGTGGACCTCCATGTAGCTGTTGATGAGGAGGAATGTCACAAGTACGGCGAACAAGAAGATTTGCATGCCCGCTTTGGGCCCCGCGAAGAAGTCAACGGAGAAGGAGTTGACCTTGTAGTCCCAGGGAATTCTTCCAGTGGTCTGCCAGTTGAAGATGAACTCGTGCAGTGCAAAGATGTTCTTAGGAGCGTTGTAGGTGAGAAACTGTACCCGGACTTCCTCAGTCTGCGAGTCTATGAACGATCCATCTTCCGCGAACTGAATCATGTTCTGAGCCAGCATCTGCGTCAGTCGCTCGTCGAAGTAGAGCTTGAAGGTGTCCGCCTCAGACGGCATGATGTACTTGCTGTCCTTGTACGCTACCTTGAAGCTGCTGACGTTGACAGACGCCTCTTCGTCTGAGATGAAGCCGTCCTGGTTTGTATCGAAGAAGTTGCTGTCGTACTTGTGCGGGAAGAAGCCGATGGGAAACGACAGCTGAGTCTCTCCACCTGACCGGATGAGATGTCTCTCGAGGGGAGAGTAGAACTTCTCGGGCATGAGCTTCGGGTTGTACATGGCGCTAAAGGTCATGAAAGATGGATCGTACCCATACGGCGTATCATCGAGGGTGGAGGAAGGGCAGCTGACAACTCCCTCTACCGACTTCATGAAGCCTTGGACATGTTTGTTCACGCTCTGAGCGCAGGACGTTGGTTTCATCCTTCTCTGTGAGATCACGATGGCTCCGACGATCCTGTTGTAGGGAGTGATCTCGCGGTTCTTGGGCTCGAAGGGAGGGACGATCTTAGGCAGGCCCTCACTTGCATTGCGGTACTCCCACACGCTGAACTGATAGTCGCTGGGGCACGTGGCCCTTGCTGTCAGCCGTTGCGCGTTGGTACAGGCGGGAAAGTTTCCAGAGGTCGGACACATGAGAGTGGGACACCTGGCGTCGATGGCGTCGTTTGCGTCAACCTTGCAGAAGCTGCAGATGTCACAGGTGCTCGTCTCCTCCAAGCTTGTCGAGCTCGGCTTGGTGCAGAACAGTCCTGCATCGCAGTCGTAGTGCGATTTACATTCCTCACCTGTCAATCAGCTGTCAAGGACTGATAAGACCATCCTGCAAGTTCTCACCTCGCGCGCCCTTGTTGAAGAGCCAGCTGGTACTGATCGCCATCTCCTGCTGGATTTTGAGGAGAGGACAAGCGCGAGCAAGCGCTTGCTGCATCAGCTGCCGATGATCCAGCAGCACGTTGACGATGGCCGCCACCTGGACGTTGGATGTCGCAAACACTTCGCTTGACACGTAAACTGTGGGATCTTGGCGAGTCACATTGAACCTCATCTGCTGGGGCAGAGCTCGAGTCACGTTGATCTTTTGTTGGACAATCTCCCTCCAAACTTGATCGACGGAGAAGTTTCCACAAAGAGGATGCAATACAGTCGAGCTGTTGGCGAGCGCGGTCGAGGAGTTGTCCAACGAAGAGTTTGAAGAGTTCGAAGAGTTTGCAGACGACGTCAACTTGTTTAGAGTGCTGTTGCTGGGCGTTGAGCTGGAAGCTGGAGGTTCTAAGAAATTGACGAGGAAAGAAAAGCTCACAACAGGAGGCCCCAGGAAATAGTTGTAGTAGTACCTGTAGTATCGACTACTCACTGTAACATCTGGGTACTTGTTACAAGCTATCACGTTGACCCGTATGTATCTCCTCGAGGTCGCGCCCTCGTAAAAGAGCACAATCTTGGAGCCGTTCTTGATAGCGTTTGGACAGGTAGTAGTGTCTGGCCAGTCGGCGCAGTCACAACGTGGTGTCGGCTGTGCGTCGGTGGAGTAGGTGTAGCGAAAGTAAGAGACGCTGGAAGTACTCAACACCTGGATCTCTGCGATAGAGATGCCGTACAAGTAGCTGTTATGCAAAGGCCTTAGGACGTGCTCGACCTTGTTGAACACCGGGGTGTCTGGCTTGACAGGGCAATAGGCTCCTTCACCCCAAGAAGCGCAGAAGCCTGCTTTCTGGACAGAACTATCCGATTTGAAACTGACCTTCATGATGCCCGTGGGTGACGTCAGCTGAGGGTTGATCCGATCCATCGTCCCGCATAACGTCGCGAGCAAGGTCGATTCCGAGTCCAAGCAATTTACACTCGTACATGAGTAGATCTTGACCCAATCGTATCTACATGTGCTATGATATTCCACATCGAAGCTTTGAAACGTGAGAGTCAGGTTGCCATTTCCCGACGGAGCGATAGTCCAAGTACAAAGTGTGTTTGAAGAGTAAGTGGTTGTGAAGCCCGACGCCACATAGCCAGTGGTGCTTGTAAGAGTTTGACCCGTGCTGGGGCAGTTAGAAACTGTTCGCAACGAATTCTTGTCAGACTTCGCCTTGGGACCTTCGACCTCTTCTATATCAGATTTGCCTTTGTGGGAGGACGGAGACGCGGGCGGATGTTGAGAACCAGCTGGATGTTTGTCTAGTGCGTCTTGTCCAGCAGTCCCCTTGGGAGGAACCACTTGTGGCAGGTGACTCCTTGGGGTTGCCTGACGCACTCGAGAGCGCCGAAGCCTAAGAGGTTCATCGCAGCTGGACCCTGACTCAACTATGGTCGCCTTGTTGGCCTGCGCGTACGGACTTCCGCTGACATTGGGCAGAATGCTGCAGTAACCTACCTTCGCGAGATTTACTATCAGAGAGGTTGGTGGAGAGCTTACCTTGACTATTGTCTCCAGTACGCCAGTCACTGAATCCTTGAGGTCAATCCTGCCGCTGACCCCGTACTTGGAGGTGAAAAGGTAGCCGACATCTTGCCATCAGCCTTTCGTCACAACTCTCAGCCTCTCTTCATCTCGCTGGCTACCTTGTGGGTTGAAAGTGTCGCAGTAAGCAACCTGGGATTCCGAAGGCGAACGACACAAAGTCTTGAGCGCATTCTCGCCGTACACCGCGTTCTTGATTATTTCTCGCAAGTTTCCGTATTCAATCGCTGTCTTCCTTGGTTGCAGACGTGAGAAAGAGCTGTGACTCATGTTAGCTTCTTCATTGTACACGGGCCAACATCTCTACCTGGGCGTGATTGCAAACAGCGAAGTTACTGCTTGATTCTCCACCAACCCCTCTACAGAGGATTCTTGATACAGCACCAGCGTAAGATCACCGTCCGGAGCCTCAAACGTCAGCTGAGTAGCGTTGGTGTCACTCTCGAAGAGAAAGTCTCCCATCGTCTCGCTGTAGATGTTATAGAAGAATCGCACCCTCGACGTGTCCTGCTCCAGCTCCGAGTCCTTAAGAGAGATACCAAGCTCGCTGCTGCTTCGCTTCACAACATCCTCCAGCGTGATCGTCAGGCTAGTCACATTCTTGTACTTGCCGCAGTCTTTGATGCATCCGAACCTCCCGAAGCCTGGAAACTCGTCCGGTCCATCACATTTCCCGTCCCCGCAAACAGGGTCGCTGAAAACCACTTGGGCTATCCCGCGGAACCTGTGGTTCACCGTCAGCAAGGACGAGTGCATGGGTGCCTACCAGGAGTAGAAATCTTCTGACGTACTCAGAAACCCCGTCGAGCCCAGACCCGAGTTCATATACCCTCCGTTACCCAACAATGGCAGGCTACTTCCCACTAGGTCGATGACTGAACTTTCAACGTAGTAGGACGACTCGATGTCTCGCTGCAGGAAAAGAAAGGAGACGTACACTATGAAGAAGATGGATGTTCCGAAAAGCCTCGTGTATGATGAAGAGCGCAACAGCTTCTCACGAACCTTTGTCAGGAGACCGTCAATTTGGATCTCCCTGCGAACAATAGGATCGCTTCTGCTCCTTAGCCCGAACAGCTTATGTATCTCTGTGTCCCTGAGAACTCCTTCCACCTCGTGGATGTCATCTACCAACGTGTCCACCGGATGTTTGATCAGGTGCTCGATCTCCTCTTCCTCGACGCTCCTCGCCTTCTTCTCTCTGCGCTTCTTGAGGACGGACGCAACAACCGCTCCCTGCATGCTGAACGAGTGTGCCACTAGCTCCCTGTGCTCCCTGCTCTGTCTTCGGTTCTTGTTCCGGTCAGCTAAGAGCCTCCATGCTTCTAGCCACTATTACATTCCCCAACATGTTCGCTTGCCGAAGTTCCTCAACGGGAGAAGGGAGGGGTGAGGGAGGGGTGAGGGAGGGGTGAGGGAGGGGTGAGGGAGGGGTGAGGGAGGGGTGAGGGAGGGGTGAGGGAGGGGTGAGGGAGGGGTGAGGGTGCAGGGCGATGGTGGGGTGATGTCAGGCTCAAAGGGGGAGCCCGGGGGAGGGTTTGTCAACTTTTTTTTATGCAGGTGCTGATGGGTGGTAGGGGTACAACAAGTACGGGTCCAATCATACTATATCAGTGGACTTTAGGTGGTGGATGATGAAATACCACCCCACCTCCTTCAGAAAGTCAACGCTGCTCCTACCCCCTTGACGCCTGGATTATAACCCACGCTCGAGGTCGCGAAAGCCAATTGAAATTTGAGGGTTGGGGTGATGGTGGGTAGGGTGACTGTGCTGTGAGGGTGGGGTGATGGAGGTGTGAGGGAGGGGTGACAGTGGGGTGATGGAGGAGTGAGGGTGGGGTGAGCCGGTGGGGTGATGTCAGGCTCAAAGGGGGAAGGGGGGGGGATGCTTTTCAATTTTTTTTAAAACATAGGCACTGATGGGTGGTAGGGGTACAACAAGAAGGGGTCCAAATCATACTATATCAGTGAGCTCTTCACAGGGTGGGTGATGAAATACCACCCCACCTGTTCAGAAAGTCAACGCTGCTCCTACCCCTATCAAGCACCGGAAGTTAATTCTTGGATCGTAAACAGCGAAAGCAAGTTCGACTTTCGTCCTTTATGAGTCAAGGCTCCAAATACACTTGAAATATTTAAATTTGATGCAATGAATTGTTTCAAGATTCATGATTTCCGTATTGAATTTGGCCTGCGTTCAACGGTTGGTCTCCTGAGTGATCACTGCAACCCGATTACAATTTTGAATCCGAAGTTGCGCTGCTTCCCCGGCCCCGGCGGTCGGGATGTTTATTATTACTGAACTCGGCCTTTGAATCACTCGGAGTCCAACTTCCGGCGGCTCCCGACTGTGTTGGATCCGATGATCGCTCGGCGCACACTTTCTTCAGCTCCGAAGGCCTCAGTCCCGGGAATCCCTGTCCTTCCAAGTTCGCTGCCATCATCGGCGGCGGCCCGGGCCACAGCGACATCATGGCCCAGTGGCGCGAGACCGTACCCCGGAATGGTCCTGCGCGAACTTCGGCGAAGGTAACGGTGAAGGGACTCGATGATCAGTTAAGTTTGGGGACACTGCCGCGGCAGTCCTGAGGGCCCTGTGGTTCTCGCTCTGATTTTTAATTTAAGTTTGAGTAAAACGATTGACACTCTGAGCAGTGTGTTTGACTCAAAGCCTTAGTATTTTTGACTGAGTTAAAAATCACTGAATAGTACGAGGACAATCAGCAGAGACTGCCGCCGAGGCATTCCGTGCTGCCAGTTCACTGAGTTTTTTCAGCCGGGCCCTCGTTTGGTGCTGGAGTCCCGCCCAGCCGAGTCAGCCGGGGAGCGTCGTGCCGTGCTGCTGATGGCCTGCTCAACCAACCCGCTGGGCGGGGGGGCGGGGGGGCGCGGTGACTCGCGCGGTTCGCCACCCGCAGGAGGTCTGGGACTCCGCCACGTAGTCGTGCGACTCCAGCCCCTCCGACGGTGAGCAGCAAACCTGACTCGTTCAAGTTCTCGCCGGACGATAGCCTGCCGACGATCCGGCGGCGGCAAAAGTTCCAGCTGCGTGTGCAAGTCGGATCACCCCCTGAGATGTTTTGCAAGCGGGGACTCATGATCCGACTTGCGGCGAGGCCCGGAGAGGTCATCCAGAGCTGCCGTTTCGGAGGCTTCAACTTGGCAACGGTTCGCCGAGCGATCAGCCCTGGCAGGAACGCTTCCGGGCAGTCGCAGACCAGCCTTGAATGCCGTGTATGTAAATGCCACGCCCTCCTGCGGGGTGAAGACCTCTTTATCCGATCTGGATCCGACCGTTGGAGTGCCGGTACCGTCGGTACGGTCGTCGGGCGGGACTCCGGCGAGTCCCCGAACTCCGGGGCCCTGCGGGCCGGCCCGGGGGATGGGGCAACACCCTGCCTTCACAGATAGCAGTAGCCCTTTGCCTGTCAGTGTTAAACCTCCCAGGTCACCCCTGGTAAATACCGCATTTAATGGGGTCCTGATGCCCGACGGAAGCAGGGGTTGGCTAAACATGGGGGTCAGCCAGTAGGGACGCATGGCAGGAATGCGAGCGAACGTTGCGCATGCACAGAAAGAGAAGAACAGGCGAAGAGGAGGAAAGAACGGCTACGAGACTGAGCATAGATAGGTTGAGAAGACAAGTAAGTAGGTCAGAGATGATGAAAGAAGAAATGACACTGAATCATACATGTGCAGCGGAAGAGTGTGCGATATTAGTACTTTGACGATGATGCCTGTGCATGATTCGCTAAGAATTTTCACAACGATGCAATATAACATCGAACAAATGATGATGCTCTCTGACTGTTCTGTTTGCTTCTCTTGTAGCTGATGCTGTTGCATTCAGGAAGGTCGATGTGAGGTGGGACATGAAGTCAGAAGTCCCAAGGTGAACTAACAAAAGACATGGACTCAATTAGAGTTATGAAATCCCCCTGTTGATGCCGAGGACACGTCTGGTCGCTCGCCAATTCTTATGCTGCTACATCAGGGAAGTATGGCACATAAGTTTTCTTCAGTGGAGATTTAAATAGTGCTGGACCAAACCATGATCAGCGCTCGAAACTCGAAGTTGAGACCCAAGAATGGAGCTCAAAGTCATCATAATCCCATCAAGAGTGAAAACGTCGTGGTGAATTCTGCATTGAATCGAAAGCACCTGGACATCTTCAAGCAGTTGGGCTGTGTTGTTGATGTGCTGCAGTTGCCCGAAGACAGCAAGAAAGACCCTTTGAGCCCAGCACCCGACAAGAAGCCGGCAAGAAGGTCGACTCTGACTCCCTTGACAAGCAACGACCCGAAACAGTCCATGCTCCAACGTCAGGCCGCCATGCCTGTCAGTCGCCCCCGAACCTCCAGTCTCGCCAGCAGGGTCTCAGCTCCGAAAGTAGCGATGCATGCTGTCGGCCGCAGAAACGCCAAGCCGTCCATATGCGTTGCCTACAGCAAATCATCGTCAAAGTTCTTGGAGCAAGTGTCTCAGCAGATTGGTTGGCAGTCAGTGAATGAAGAACGAGATGATAGCGATGTACACTGGGTGGTGTCGAGTGAGCAACTGAATCTGAGATTGCGAAAGATCAAGGAGCATCAATTCTGCGCGAGGATCCCTGGAATGAATGAAATATGTAACAAGTGCAGATTCTCAAATGCTATGTTTCTCGCCCAAAAACTCTTTCCCGAGATTGTAGATTTTTGGCCCAAGTCATGGGTGCTGCCAAGTCAATACAAGGAATTGAAGAGCACGATGAAAGGCAGTCGTTTGACATTCATCGTCAAACCCGGAGACGGCGCGAAGGGAGAAGGAATTTTCATAGCGTTGGGGTATGATGATCTTTTTCGAAGGCTTGAAGATCATCAGAAGAAGTTCAACAACCTGGATGTTGTCGTTCAGGTCTATCTGGAGCAACCGATGCTGTTGAAAGGAGGATACAAGTTCGACCTTCGAATCTATGCCTTGATACAATCGGTTTCTCCTTTGCGAGTCTATGTTTGTCGTGAAGGTCTTGCGAGGCTTTGCACTCTGCCTTACAAAGCTCCTTCACAAAACAATGTGAATCAAGTTATGGGGCATTTGACTAACTACAGCTTGAACAAACAGAGCGACAACTACGTGTGGAGTAAATACGATCAAGATGAGGCCGGGTCTAAAAGAACCATATCAGCAGCTTTTGCGGAGCTGAAGAGGATGGGGTTCGATGTGGATCAGATATGGCGACGGATAGACAGGCTGGTGCATGTGACTTTCCTAGCAGTGCAGCCCATGCTGCTGGCTTCTTCACTACAGCTGATGCAGGAACATGGCGTGCCGAGGCGATGGGGCTATGATGGGGGAGCTGGTTGCTTCCACATTGTGGGGGTTGACGTGATGCTGGATAAAGACGGGAACCCATACCTGCTAGAGCTGAACGCTAGTCCCCGGCAGGCGATTGAAAGCATCTTACCAGCTGATGAGATCGATGTTGCTAGTGGAGAGAAAGTGTGCTCATGCGAAGACGAGGACTTTATGCACGTGCATCGAGTTTGTGAGGTGGACAAGAAGGCAAAGACTTGCGCTGTGGGAGGTGCGTTGCAGATTGTGGTGCAGAAGAAGGGCTTCTCCGCCAGTCAAAGCAACTTGAGTGATGCCCGACAAGTCCATCAGCGAGAACCGGTCACTTTCGTAGCGACGTTCATGGGGCAGAAGCCTCGGAATACACAACTGCAATCGCTGCCGCAAAAACCCGGAAAGAGTCTACCGCATGTGAGTTCTCTGTCGAGGTGCTATGTCATGGTGAGCGGAAGGAAGCATGCTCTGATGAATGGATCACATTCGGATGAGACCGAATCTCTCCTCGACGACGACCCTCTAGACTCCTTCTTTGCCCGCGCCGATACGTCCACCGACTATCCTGTGAACTTCTTTCGATCTCACCCGGTTGTCTTACTGTCTGCAAACACAGGTGAAGGACGAGCGAGGGATAGATCCGGACATGGAAGATCTTGAATCACGATTCTCAATCGTGCGTGAAATTTTTCAGATCTATGACAAACTCATCACCAACAAGTTCAAGTTGGATGGGAATCAGGTGTTGCCATCGAGTTTGAAAGTTGCACTCTAGTTGCTGCCAGTGTTCTGAACCTGACCTCAACCAGATGCGTCGGATGGCAAGAAACTGCGAGGGTTCAAAGGGCGTCTTGAGCAGGTTCAGTCACTTCCTCCTCCGCTCTCTGCATGCACACCTCTCACAACTGCCTGCTGCTCCTACCAGGGGTGAAGTAGACGTTCTGTTTAACAAAGCGCTCGCCATGGCCGAGGGCCACGACTTCAAGGTGGGACAGGAGGGGCAAGAGCGATGGGTCACGGGCTATGGCAGGGATGCACAACGTTGGACTACAGCTCTATGGCATGGTACCTGCTAGGTGACAGGGAGGAGCAGCTGCGATATGAGACGGGTGACGCGCCGGCAGAGCTCGGAGTCCTCGTCTACCCGATGGACCCGCCGCTTCAAGCTCTGCGACGAGTGCTTGCGGCGAACAAGTGATGTGTATGCTGGAAGAGACCTGCTCTTACGTTTCGAGACAGCAAACTGACCAGCCTGTCGACAATCGAGGCTCCTGTGGTATAAACAAGCTCATGCTCGCGATGTTAGTTGATGCTAACGAAACTCTTACTTGTCAGATCATCTGATGATACGTCGACGACTATGGGAGATCTCCGCTCAGGCTGGGAAGCAAGATCTATTCTTTTGTAGTGATGTGATTCGAACGTGTACTTGACATACATACATGCTCTCTGTGAACACCCCTTGAGGTTTCAATACTCAAGAAACGTGTACCTGACCCACTCCCACCCGATGATCAGCGAGTACCCTGCGACGGCAACCAAGGCCATGATCGCTACAGTCTTGTCCGACTCCTTCTTGCTTGCAGATCCTGCCGCGGCTCCACGCTGACGCAAGGCTACAGGTTGGTTGGTACCCGCCGAGTCCGGGAACGTGACGCACTTTCTGAGCTCCCTAATGATCTCTTGGTGATTCATGTCAAACTCACTCGCCAGCTTCTCAACGACTATCTCGAACTCCTCGAAGTCGATGGTCCCATCCTTGTTCTTGTCCCATTCTGCAGTCACTGACGCTACCTCCTCGTCTGATGCCACCAGCCCCACGTCCAGCAGGGTGGATTGAATCTCCTTGGCATCAATCCTACCATTGCGATCTCGATCGATGGCCAGGAAAATCTCTCGCAAGGCCTCGTCGTATGTTACAACTTCATCCTGATCGTACGAGCGAAGCCTTGCAACTACCTCAACCAAAGAAGGACGACAAGGGTAGGGAACAACAGCCCGTCTCGGCGACTTGAAGCTCGAGAACAGAGTTTTGTGAGCGACGAGACCCTTGACACCTCGAGAGCAAACTTGACATCTCTTCCAGTCAGTGAGTCCTCCTGCATGCCCAGCGATGAAACAGAACCTGTCCTTCCTTGCTCCCCGCCGGTAAAGTTTCTCCTTGAGGCATATCCTGGAGCGATCCCTCCCGTCACATCGCATGCTGCATGCATCAGCAAGCTCCCTGCTATGACCTCCAGCTCCAGCTAGTCCCCAGCTGTCTCTCGCCCCTGCAAGTCCCCAGCTGAACGCCAGCAACATGGCCGTCGTCAACCTGACCATCGCCCTTCTATAGATACCTGAGGCGGGCTGGTGTTTTACTAAAACTGTTTTAATTACTTGGGCAGTGGTACCTGGAGCAAAATAAAATAATATAAGAACTTCTTCTCAGTACAAGATATTCTACTAGATTATACTTATATCGTACCATAGTAAAATGATTTTGTAAATATCCCTTGAGTCGGCCATGACAGTGCACTACGACTGGACAACAGATGGAAGAGAGGGCAAGGGAGGAGGAGGAGGAGGAGGAGGAGGAGGAGGAGGAGCAGGAGCAGGAGCAGGAGCAGGAGCAAGAGGAGGTACAGGGAAGTGAGGTAGAGATGCAGTGATGCATGGTGACCGAGGACAGGGGGAGGTAAGAGAGAAGGTTTCAACGTCGATCATGAAAGCTGAATGTGAGTTTTAGGGTTTAGGCTCAACAAACTCGGATGAAGAGCCTTGCAGTGGTGTGCTAGAACGAGATGCAGAAGCGAAGATCTTGGTTACAATGGGAGGAGGAGGAAGAGGTGAAGTAACGTCGAGTACAAGGAGAAAAGGGGATGCGATGAAAGAACGAAGAACGAGTGTGAGGGAGAGGAGGAGCTATGAAGAGGAGCACGATGTATACGGTTGTGATGCCATGGATCTAACGCTGAGAGCAAGAACATCTTGAGTCTATCGCTGATATGTCAACAGTTCACCCGGAACTCTTCTAGTCGGCAACCATGGGTGACCTTGCGGCCATGATGGCTGCGAGGAGGAAGAAGCTGGAGGAGGTGGATGAGGACGGGTTCTACTTTCGCTCCCCTCCGGCAAGCAGCACAAATCCTACGAATGTCAAACAAGCTGCGAAGAATCAGCAAAATCAGGTAGGGAGAGACAAGAACCCTCCCCCTCCTCAATTTGCCTCTTGTTGTGCTCCCCTCCTGCCCTCGGCCTCTTACCATCCTCTCCTCGTGATTGTATTGCCTCCTCCCTCCCTTTCACCCTCCCCTTCCTCCCTCCCTCCTCCTCCCTCCCTCCCTCCCTCTTCCTCCCTCCTCCCTCCCTCCTCCCACCCTGCCTGCCTGCCTGCCTGCCTGCCTGCCTGCCTGCCTGCCTCCCCCCCCCCCCCACCCACCCACCCTCTTTCCCTCCCCTCCTCTCTCTCCTCTCTCTCTGTCCCTCCCCACCCCTCATTTCTCTCCCCTCCCTCGCTCCCTCCCTCAGTTCCTCCTACCCTCTCTCCTTCGCCTCGTCTCTCTCTCTTCCCCCATTGTTTTCCTTCCCAACCAATTGTCATTCCTTCGCCCGCGAAGCGCCATCAGCAGCAGCAGAGGGAAGACTCAACCTCTTAAAGAACATCGAAGAGCGGCGCCCTGCACGAAGC